GCGGGCCATCACACACTCAATCAATCGATTTTGTATTGATTTCGTATTTTGTTTGTATGCGTGCGAGCCTCATGGCAACGAAGGGTTTCTGTCAAACAATTTCCGGCTGAGCTGCTTTCGCACAGCTTCTGCGCCTGGCCTTGAGACCAGTTGGCGAGGCAGCAGGACGAGAATCCCCATTGACCCGCTGAAGCGAACGACTGAAGTTGTCTTTCTATTAATTTACGTGCTCGACTCAAATCATAATTTTTATATAAATGCAAAGAGAAGACAATAATAGCTAATTAAAAATTGAATTTGAATATTTATATAAGAATCTCATTTTAGTCGGAATATGAATATTTATTCTATAATCTCTGCAGAACCAGAACTCAATTCAAGTAGATTCGATAACTTTTCTTATAATCTCTGTTCTGATCTCTTATCTTCTATAACTCAACTCAACTATGGCTGCTCTGCTCAACCCTTTTCCAGCTAAGCGTTTGTAATTCCCGCGAATTACGCACCGAAACCGTTGCCTGATTATCACAGTACTCTCAGACCCTGGTCGAGACGTGCTCCGCGATGGATTCTTCTCCGGTTTTTGGGCCAGTGGCGGGCGCGTGCGTGACAATTTTATGTGCCGGCAAAGGCAACAGCGACGACAAAACAAAGCATAAATTAGAGCAAGGGGGTGGAGAGGAGAGGAGAGGAGAGGAGGTGTCCAGGTAGCGTTTAGGGGAGCCATTGGCATTGGGAGCTGGGAAATCGAATTAGATATAAGTAGTTGCCCGCCAGCCTGTATATAACTGTATGTATGGCACACACATGCGCACTGCTGGTGCGTGTGCCTGTGTCTGTATCTGTATCTGTAGTCGTGTATCTGTGTATATAAATAGTTATAATAGAAGCATAGATCACACGATGCGCCGCATGCAACATGGAGTCACCGTCACCTGGAGATTTATTGGCAACGTCTCGACCAGGGGTGGGATACAAACAGAGAGAGTGTGTGAGAGAGAGAGAGAGAGAGATGCACACGACAGCAGAGTGAGTGAGATGTAGCTACTGTGTGTGGCAGTTGGCCAAAGACGTGGGCTCTACTTCGTTTTTCTTTCTTTTTTTTTTTTTTT